CTGCTCCAGGCAGGTGAGTACCACCTCTCGGTGCTTCTCCTTCCCCATGCTTCTCTCTGTCCCGGGACAGCCTCTCCCCTTGCCGTCAGCTTTGCCTGCTTCACGGCAGGCACCTCGATGTGGTTTGGCCAACCGACTGAAAAAAAAGTGCTGCTTGACTCTGTTCAACTTTATAGCGAGGGGCTCTGTAAGTGAGCTGCCTGCCCGCTTCCCTTCCCTGGTGTTTTCCAGGGCTGGGGCTGTATAAATATGGGTTGTTTTGTTTCTGGATAATTTTCTGCTACAAATGTCTGTGTTTCTTCATAGAAATACCCTCTTTTTATACCAGTGACTGTGGACTAAGCAGTTTTCAATTAATCTGAATTTAAACTAATTTTTAAAAAGCCTCTTGAAGAAAAGCCGTGCATGTCTGTTCACATAAAGCCCCTACGCACAGAGGCAACGCACCACAAAACTGGTCTGAGTTTATACCTGCAGCACAGTTTGAAAATAAAAACAAAACTTTGCCTTAATCTGGAGCAAAGGCTGCCCGTTTAAGCAGGAAATAGGAAGTGTAAGTTGTCAGACCCACCTCTGCTCACCTCCTTGCAGGTATGTTCTCTGCTAAGGCACCCTGTTAGTAGTATAGCTGATGGTTGGACGTGCTCCTAATGGGAGATGTGGCTAAATGCAGGCTGCTGTGGAGCCTCAGACTTTTTCCAGGCTTTCCCAGCTGCATTGGCTTGGCATAGATAAAGCCATTTCAGTTCTCGGTCGAGTTATTATTCGTGCACCTGAATATTGAAACATACTTGCTGGGCTGACCTCTCAGCTGTGGCAACTCGCAGTTGGCTCTAAACCCAGACAGCTTTCAAAGAACAGAACAGGAACATCAGAGGCCACCTGGATGCCGGTGTGATTTCAACCTCTTGCAGAGCACGCAGCCCTAAGCACCATTTTTTGGGCTCAGTTCCCTTTGGGGCTTTCTCTCTGCTTTCACAAGCAGCTCTGCACTCTAATTACAGTTCCTTGATCCTCAGAGATATCCCCAAAAGAAGAAATGGCCTTTCTTCTTCTGGGTGAGGTGCAGTTACCCTACACCAGCCTTGGCTGTTTTCAGTCAGTGGCCAACAGACCAAGTCCAGCGGTCCCAGCTAAGAGGTCAGTGAAAGACAGCTGAAAAAAATGCGAGCTGCTTGTCAGGAGGCCTGAAAGCCTACAAAGAAGTTTTTGTCTCCACTGGAACGTTTTTGGGGTCTGCAAACCGAAGCAGGTTGAAAAAAGTATGATTTTTAACCTGAAACACAGAACATCTCACTGCTGGTGATTTCCCCCAGGGTGCCGGAGAGCTGAGCCTGCTTCTGAATCCAGAGCCATTGCTGTTTAGACAGGGGAAGTAGGTCGTCTCTTTAGTTTCAAATAACACCCATCTAATGTGTTTTTAGCACGAAACCTGAACACTCAAGCAGTGTTTAGGTGAGCAGCGCAGTTACTTTTTCAGGAATGTGCATTTAATCCCCGAGGACTGCCCCAGGAAGCATAAGGAGGCTGTGTGAAACCCCTGCGAAACCCGTCCCCGGGGCTGCCTGAGGTGCCAACCACCCTGGGGTGAAACTGGCAGTGGGAAGCGCTCCTTCCCCGAGCTGGGGGCTCAGGGTCTGGAGAGGGAGCAACGCCCAGCCTTGTCCTTCACGGGAAGAGACCCTCCTTGTCTTCGCCGAGGGATTCGGATCAGGCTGAGAGGGCGAGCCAGCCCAGGAGATGCGGGGACAGACCCAAGGAAGGGGATTAGAGGCCAGGTTTTAAAAGGAAAGCACCCGTTTTAGTAATAGTATTGAGTCCTCGGGTGGTTTAGGGGATTACTTAGTCCGTGCTTGCACAGCACTGTGAAGAGGTCAAATGCGCTGCAATAGCTGGGGGCAGGTGGCAAAGCGACTTTGGTGGTGGGTTCCCAAGTGGGTCACCTTCCTCTCCACCCAAGCCCGTTGTGAAGTCCGTCCCCCTCCGTCTCGGCACGCTTTTCTTTTCAGAGCAGCTGTGCCCGGGTAGGACAAGCGGATGGGTCAGGCAGTTGTCTGAGGCGTTTGCTGCTACTGGTGAGCAGCTTTGCCATGCACGATAGAGCAGTGCAAAGCCCACTTGGTCCTTCATGGTGAACCCAGGCCATAAAAGCTCCTATCTGTTGCTATGGTTAACCCGATAAGCATCAACATTTGCAGCTGAGCATCACAGTGGTTTGAGTATCAGGGGCAGGGTACTCTTGGTTTCCGCAGCAGTTACTGCAAGGTAGAGTCTGTGGTTTCTAAAAAAGTTGCAAATTAACATGTGAAATCACAACACTGAAAGACTAGTAGCTCAAAAAAAACTCCAGAGCGGTGCGGGTAGCCGTCTGCACACTTCAGCTGACACAGAGCTCCTTTTATGTTTTTTCTCAAATTAATGCAGCCAGCCTGATTTTACGACTTAAACAGAATGTAATAAGGGAAGCAGATGCAAGTGTTGCCAGCACTTTCAAACACTCAAAGCTGATATACATCCATCTTGGCTAACGCAGGCACTCTGTCCTTGACGAAGTATACCTTACGGGCTTGGGGACTTGTAGCTATCCAGGTACACAAACAGTAGTGTCAGCTCTTTGCCATCTGGAGAATGGGTTAAAATACCCTAAATTGGAGGGGAAACTTGGATAATATAAGACATCTTGGGCAAGCCAGAAACCTATTTTTTCTGTAGAACCCCGGTTAGGTCTGGCTGTGTGCTTGTTTTCTGCTGCTCCCTGTCCCACTTGGGACTACAGCATAGCTAATAAACTTTCCCAGGTTTGGAGCTCTGGTATGCTGGCGCAGGCCCTGCAAAGCTGAACAGCTTGGGCTCTGTGATGTACAAAACTGGACACCGTGCTCCCAGATGCAATGTAGTTGCAATCACATACTGGTGTGCCAGAGCTAGTAAGTCTTCCTTGGATCAAGCTACCTGAGAACCGGCCTCCTGGATAGCCCAGCCCTCAGGTACAGCCTCTGCAGAGTCTCCTTTGCAGGGTCAATGTAAAGGCTAATTAGATTGTCAAGGCTGCACTCTATCAACCAGTCAAGACCCCAAAAAATCCCCCTTTAAGGACTTCAAGAAAATCAGTATCAGGTGCTTTTAATCCCTGTGTGAAGCCATGTCCTGTCTTTGCAGTTTGGAAAGACGCTCTGGGAAAATCCCATTCACTGCACACCCGGGGAATCATCGAGTTGGCAGGAGCTATATCGTGCGGCACGGGACGGTCTCCCTTGGCGTATGTTGGCTACGGATGCTACTGTGGACTGGGAGGACAAGGCTGGCCTAGAGATAAAACAGACTGGTAAGAAGAGCCTCAACTATCTGTCCAGAAGCAGTGCAGATCTTCCCAGACTTCCCTGTTCGTACACCTGTGACTCCAGGAACTCATTACTGCCTTGTGGAAGGGGAACTTAATATGTATGAACAGCACTGGGCAATTGTGAGTGAGGACCCTCATATCACTTGGGGTTTGAATGAGGATTTAACCACTTTCATGATGAGAACAGAGCTCTTGGGACCCGGTAGTCTGTGGGCCAGAGGGCAAAGGAGGAACTAGGGTACGATTTCATGAAATAGCTGCATGTTTATTCATAGAGAGCAAGCCCTGCCTGGAAAAAGGGGAGTGACTATGGTATTTGGAGGGTTATTTCACCCACATGCTGAAAATGGCAGCAATGGGAATGTTACAGTTTATCCTCTGGAAGAAATCAAGATCATTTCAAGGAGTAACCAAACCTGTTGCCTTCATTGCCTGTTAGTTCACACTGCAACAAGGAAGAAAAAACAACAGGAGAGAGCATTTCCCTTCTTTGTTAGTGAGGAAGATGCTGTGCTTGTTAGTCCCGAGGCTAAAAGCAATGAGCCTAGGAGGTGTTGTGATCAAAGGCTTCTTTCTTGTGCTTTGCAATTAGCATACCTGTAAATCTTGAGCATGGCAGGCTCTTGTGTGCTCTGAGCCCCTTATTTGCCATCTTGTCTGGCTTTAAACCTCCAAGACCGAACACACAAGTCTATCTGTTCATCTACAGTTAACAGCCTGGTTGTTACCGATAAGCAAGTGGCGCTTTTAGCAGGGATGAAGGCAGCATGCAGCTCACTGGGAAGGAAACCAAGCTTTCCAGAACACCCAGCTGGTTTTGGAGACACCAGTAATGTTGGAGACATTTCGCGTTGCCACAAAACCAAACTTTGCTGAATTGGCAGGACGAAAGAAAAAAAGGAAGAAAAGACACCAAATTTGAAAGCCGACTCCTCTACGGGCATAAAAGAGCAGGTGTGCCTTAGAACTAGTGGAGATGTCTTCATTAATGCAGCGAGATGTTTCACTCCCAAAGCCCTCTCTCCATGTCCCTGGTTTGAGTTTATGAAAGATTTAATCCACGAAACAGTCAATATGGGACTTACAAATAATGAGTAACTGCCTATAAAATGTCATAGCTTTCAGGTGTAGAGATTTCTTTTGATTTTCAGTAGTGTCTCCTGACCTCTTATCGCCATCTACAGAAGTGTCTGTAAACACGTTTATTATTTTTGTTAGCCCTTTGCCAACTCTCATAATCAGGCTGTTAGAGTAAAACACGACTTCACTACTCTGGAGTACTTCTTTTACCGAAGGACTGAGTGGAGTCACCTAAAAGCTGTTTTCCATAGGGGTCAAGCTACCTCCCAGATACAGCTGACTCCGGGAGACACGAGTGGTCAGTGCTCCTGAAAAACAGAGAGAAAGAGGAAAATGCAGCCACATGTTCGTTGGCCAGTGTTTCTGCTGCTGTTTGATTTCCATGGGATGTGGATTTTATCCTAATGGCAAAAAATGGAACTCTGCAACTGGAAATGCCTCAAAATATCAGATAGCTTGTAAAAAGGAGGCTTGACCTGTTGAGTGTGTTCATTATTACTTCTTAGCTCCAATACTTGGCTGAAAAAAAAAACCACCAACCTTTTTTAGTTAGGTTCTTAGCTACAAAGAATCAGCAATGGCCCACTAGATTTAGCCCTAAAAATTTCCATCTTCTGTTTGCTAGAGGAATTTTCTGATACCTGTCACTGAGAACTACTGCAAAAATCAGTGTGGTTGAGCACCTGTGCCTGTCAAAGTGACCACATTATTTTCCATATTTGCCATTCTAAAAAAGAAAGAAGTGGCGTGGGAGAACTACTGGCCTGGAGTGACAAACGCTGTTTGAAGTGACTCACTCCCTTGACACTTCCAGGTTTGTTACTGTTACCCCTACAAGAGGAGCAATTTTCTTTTGAGTAATTCAGTCAATCTGTCTAGACAGGGCTAGAGTGCTCCTAAGCACCTCTCCTTTATGGAAAAAAAAAAAAAAGCCATAGGATGAGTAATCCTTTTATAAGTTTTATTCCACACACTGACTTTGATGTGGCGTTGTCGGCAATTGCCTTTTCCCTTTTGTTCCACTCTCGCAGTCTCATCACTTCAAGAAATAATGGCATCTCTTCCAGATAAAGTCAATAGATTTGTTTCTCCTTCCCCTTTCGTTCCCTCCAGATTGCTGCAGCACCCGTTTTGTGAAACGGGACCTGAAGGTGCTTGGTGTCTCCCTGAAGACACCGAATGCCGTGAAAGGCAGGGTGGCATGTATGGCTCATCTGAGTCCAGGCAATCTCATCAGGAAGAGTAAGATTTCCCCTCAGTTGCTGAGTTAAAGCAAAACAAAAAGACACACAGCGGTGGCTGTGCTGTTAACGTGACAAACACAACGTGACAAATTCTGACCTTAATAGCATTTGCTCAACGGCAGGGGTCTGGCCAGCTGGTCCCTGTGGGCCAGCCAGAGCTGTCTGTAGCCGTGAGGGCTGTCTCATAGCCCAGACATGATGAATAGGTAGTTTACTAACTAGGTGACATGGTTGTATTTGTTTTCCATACCTGTTGACCAATGCTTTGCCACAGTGTTGGCTGACTCCGTTTGCGTTGGTCTAACCGAGGGTTAGGAGATTATTAAAAACTTCACACCACGCTCTGACCCAGGTGCAGGAAAGGGCATTTCCAGGGAGGATGGGACCATCGAAGGTGACAAAGGACAACAATAGGTTTCCTCATTCTTCATCCCCTGGCAGTTCTGTCAGAGCATCTGAAAGAGGTGTTTGTAAAACATGAGCCAACGTCTTCTTGCTTTGTGTTGGTGTCAGGTACATGTCACCTCTCTGCAGTTATGGGTATCATCAGGAGGAGACGGTGTAAGTGGAAGCAGAATTGTGCCCCAAAACCTGTGGTCTTGCAGAATTTATACAATCCCCCTGATTTCGACAAGCCAGCAATGGAGCAGCGAGTTTTCACAGCTAGCTAGCACACCTCTCTTGTGTGCTTTTGGTTGTCCTTGCCTGATCCACAGACCATCTTTCGCCTCTTCCAAGATCTCACTTTTCTCCTACCTTTTTTTCTGCTCATTCCTTCTGGCTCTCCATGAAGAGCAATTTCATTGCCTTGGCCCACAGGTTCCTAACTCTTCCTTTTGCCCATCTACCTTTGTGTCGTTCCTTCTCCCCAGAGTCCTCCATTGCTGACACCAACTTTACTGATTTGACTACTGATTCACTCTTCAGACCTCACAGATTTCTACAGCTGGTGCTCTGCCTCAGCTCGGCCTGATTCTTTGCTCTCCACCGGGGCCTCTTGCGCTCTGTGCCCCATATAGGAGACACCCATGATGGGCCTGCTCTGCCATCTGCCTCCCTGAGGATGGATGAGGCTGTGCTGCAGCTCCAGGTATGTTAGCCAGGGTGCCCTGGGCTACAGCAGCTCCTCCAGATGACACATGCCCCAGTTGTAGCTCAGTGTTGTAGTCCATCCCAGTCATGTCATATATGGCACATTGCATAGGGACTCATACGTTGGAGAAAGCTGAGACTTCCACACTTTACCCAAGGCTGCAAGTTCTTCTCTCCTTTAGCCTTTCACTTCTAACCTCTTCAGGACAAGCCCAGGAGTGAGGTGTTACTGGACCGACAAAGATCTGACTCACAGCCTGTTAGTGCTGTCATGTCCAACAGAACCAGTTCCATGAGATGGATAAGGTCTTCTCAATTACAGCAATTGCTGTAACTCCTCATGGGAAAACTTCTAGATACGTATATCCTACAGGGCTTAGTCCCATTCTGAATTCCTTTGAGTAGCTGGCATGGAAGGACATAATAGTCTGCTACCGCTAACTTACACATCTAGGTTTCACAATGCAGTGAGTAGTCTGGTTGCAATCATCACACAGCTTTCATCTCTGCAAGCTGAGAAAAAAAAAAAGGCATTTAGTTTGCAGACTCATCTGTGGGATGAAATTTTTACTTTAACTACTAAACCAGGAGCTCAGTCAGTAGGGAATAAATTTGGCCTGTGTGTAATCACAAGGGTTACTTGAATGCTGAACTTGACCTGACTGGTCTGATTCTGTTGTCTCTTTCACATGATTCACCTGATCTAGTTCCAATCATTCTGTTAGAATTCGCATCAGTGGTGGATCTTCTTTGCACTTCAAAAATTTTTGATTTTTTTTTCCTAGGCTTTATCACCTCACATAGCCCACCAGCCCTCATATCTGTAAACCAAATTCTAAAAGGGCAAAATCCTCCTGCAGCAGAAGGCGATGAAGTTTGTGATATTCCTGAGCTCTCGGGTAAGGTACTGGCAGCTCCCAACGGGTTTCCACAGAGGCCCCACTTCCTGCACAAGGGACCTTTATCTTTCTTGCAGGGTTTTTCCATTTTTCCAGAGCGATATAGTGGTGGATCTCAGAGTGCATCACAGACTTTTATTGGCTTTTCAGGTACACTTGCCTCAGGCCTTGAAGATAATGATCAAAGTCTTCAACTGGATTTGGGCAGCCAGCATGGGCATGCTCCCTTTTGGCCAGCTCATCCACATCTTGAAGACATTGACATCTAGGACTCAAGAGCTTCTCTAGAAGCTGTCTGCTCTTCATTTATCCCGAGAATCAGCCTGCCTCGATGCTTCCCAATTGGTAGAGTGGTCTTGTGTTCCCCGCAGTGATCTTGCGGGGACAGCTTCTGGAAATGCAGGACCTCACTTCTCTCTGGCTCCAGCTTCTGACCTTGCATCCTTGCTCAAACAACCTTTGTTATCTGGCAGAGAACTCCTCTAAGTGCTGAATCTTTTCTGAGTATTTCAAGTCACTAAACTACCAGAATAAAATTCAAGTGGGGTCAAGTTTTCTATAAATTCTGAAGTAATTGATAGTGGGAGTTATCTCACTGACTAGTCTGTAGGATAGTTCTCATCAGCTGAGCTAATCACTCTCATCCCCCTCAATAAAAATAAATAAAATAAAAATAAATAATTGTCAATAAAAAGCAACTGCACTTTCAAATGCAATGTTTTTCACCTATGTTAGATCTCTGCAGCATGATAATATGAACGGTGTCCCAGATGTGTGTAAAGGCAGTATAGATCAATGCCTCAGATGGAGATGTTTACACTTAGGGACCTGAAGTTAACTGGTATGATTCCCACCATTGAGGCTGATGGGTTTGTAGGCAGCTCTCAGAAACTGGATGGGCCAAGGAGCACGTGACAGGTCCAGGTGAACTGAAGAGACAAAGCTGCTTGGTGATGCTGAGGAAGGCAAAAAAAATCCTGATTTCAAATCCTGAGATGGGTCTAAGCCCAAGCCAGTGAGCCTCAGACATGCGACTCAGAAATGCTTCAGCTCCGTTTCAGTAAGTGGGATTACCTCGTGTTGACCGCACCTGCCTTCCGAGGGCAAAAGCTCAGAGAAAGAAGCACAGTGGTCTTGGGAGCAAATATGGCATTAATGAGCTCCTGAGCCATGTGAGCTTTCAAAGAGATGCCAGGACACTTGGTTCATCAGCAGACAATTTACTGACAGGCTGGGGCAAACATTGGTGTTGTAAGCAATGCGTGAGCGGAACACTCCTGGAGTGCGTGCAAACACCCCTGAGCAAAACATGCGGGATGCCTGAGCCCAAACTCTTACCTTTTATTGTCTCCCAGGTGCTGCCACAGGCACGACTGCTGCTATGACAAGGCAGAGAAGGAAGGCTGCAGCCCCAAGGCGCAGCGGTACCAGTGGGCATGTGAGCAGAACACCGTGCGGTGCGGTAAGGAAACGCTCACTCGCGTTGGGTTCGTTTCGCTCCCTCCTCCGCGGGCACATAGGCTGACCTAAGAGCTTTATGGGCTTCAGAGGTAGGTCTATGTATGCTGAGGTGGTTTAAAAGCTGCTTTGGGCAATGTCTGTTCTCTTCTGAGCTCTCTTCCCATCCCTTGCCTGGATCACCAGGCTTGCCAAGAGTCCCCAGCTGGAGCTGGGAGGAAGGCTGGAGCCCCAGCACCACCTGTACCAGGTAACGAGGCCTCCCCAGGCTGAAGAGTGGCAGTGGGGGCCATGGAGCCAACAAGCCATCTCAGTTTGGCAAGGATGCAGATGCCTCTCTGGAGGCTCTCTGCCCACCCACCTTAAGCACGCCTGCTCCTTACCGATGCCTTCCCAAAGCTGTGCAATGATCTGCCTGTGACCGTCTCTGCAGGGGTGGTCTTCCCATGGCAGTTTTGGCCCTCCCCCCAGCGGGACCGTTCGCTGTTTTACTTCCCAGTACGCACAGCTAGAGAAGAGCCATGCTATCACACATGTCTGTAAGAGGTTAAATAGGGCGCTCGCCTGCATCTTTGCCTCGTGTGGGACTCCAGCCGAAAGCCCAAGGGCTCCAGTGGGGATTTTGAATCTTGCAGAGTCAAATGCTCTCGAGTGCCGCAGCCACGCAGTGAGTGTAGGCTGTGCTCAGCTCTACAGCTGGTACTCAGGCAAGAAGGTCTTGAATTGCACAGTCACAGCCCGCCGGTGGCTCGCACCAGTTTGTTTTGACATACACCAGATGACTTGAGTCTTAGAATTTGTCACTTCTATTTCTAAGTCTCCAAAAAGTCCCTGATGGTAAAATCCATTGTAGAACACTTTAGAAGATGGAAAATGAACACGTGAGATTTCCTTTGTGTTCCTATGGGAACACTTGTCCCCATAACATCAAAGCTACTTGCTGGAGCATTGAAAGACTACTTCTACCTTGTCAGAAGACCGTATCCTCCTGGTGCAATCCTCAGCCTCTCCAGCAGCTGAAAATCTGCCAGCAGATACAGGATGTGGCACAACACATCTGCAGTTGCTCTTTTCCAAGTGCCAGAACAACCGCTGGCTATACTGCTTTAATGTATAACTGCTCTCCTGCCCACTCACCCGTATTTCCATAGCCGGCTGAGGTTTTCTGCTAGCTATTTTGATATGAAAAAAAACCAAACAACTGTTTCTTTTTGCTGTGAAGGAACAATCCTAGTTGCAGATGCGAGACGTATCATCGAGTCCCTGAGACGTGTGCAATGTCTGTCCCAAAAGACTGCACTGGGCTGCAGTTTTTCCAGCCTGTCTAACAACCATTAGTTAAACAAATGCCATTAATTCCTGAGCTGATGTCCAGGCAAGGCCTGAGAAGCATCCATCAAGTGTTGTCTGCAAGCCCTCAGCGGCTTCACTTCCCCCGACATCCCCCGTGGGGAGGAACAATAGAAATGTGTTCTGAAGGCAAATTTACTACCCCGGGCTACAGCACAGCAGGTCTTACTGAGGTGTGAAGGTGTAATGTCTGATCCCATTCAAACAAAAGGGATGAAGAATTACATTTCCAGGCATGCTTGCTGGGCCCAGGCTAGAGAAGTCCAGAAACATTAGAAGCAGAACTGCTTGCACTGTCCTGTCTATGCAAGGGGAAAAGAATGCCTGTTGCCTGGCACTCTATCATAAACACAGATATTTTTGAGTAAATTAAACAGAAACTCATTTTACCTGGGGCTTGTCCTCCTTTCACTCCTGCTAGGAAGTTTTGTTTGTGGAATGAAAAAAATTGGCAAAACCGGTTTTTTCAGTCCAGATATGCCATCACATGTAGGCAAATTCCTTTCAGTAAATATCTGGAATATAGAAAAAGGTGTAAGTTGTGGGAGCTGGTCAAAGAAATCATTCTGCTCTAGCAGAAATGACTGCCAAGCCAGACTCCTGTACTCACATTAGATTGACAGGGGTTGGCGCGGCATAGGAAGAATTCAAGGAGTAGAGGGCAAGGAGAAAATCAGGCAGGACTGGTAGCTAAGAAAAAAATTGACTTAGTGCTGAAACCTCATCGATGGGACCCTTGAAACACTGGTAAACTGGTGATTCTCTTTAGAAAAGCTTAAGTAATATGGGCTTTTCTTATTTATCAAGTACAGGGTTGATCCAGCAAGTCCAGTGAAATCTGGAAAGATTCCTGTACTCTTTGCAGTTGGTTTTGGAGCAAAGCCCATGTGGGCTGGCAGGAAGTCACACTTTAAACTCTGCCTAGTGCAGGGTTTGGTGAATGTTAGATAATCTATAGTAGCAACCTCACATAAACAGGGCACTGTGCTTTGAAATCATATTAGCTGCATTCAGGCCACCTGTAGGTGAGATGGGCTTCATTAACCCCAAATCAGTCATTTGCAATGAGCCACCTCAGCTGGTTACTTTGATGTTCCTTATGATCCTCACCTAGTCATGTAGTCATATAATTGCATTATAAATAGTTCCACACATATGATCTTGATCAGCTTCGTTAGCTGCTGACTTACAAAAATCAGGTACCTAACTGTGCCCTGGGGTTTCTTGGCTTCTCTGCCATGATCAGAGGGATGTAACAGCAACTCATGGAGCATGAGTGAAGGATGCCTGGTGGGTGCTTCTATACCTTTGGGTTTCCAAATGTCCCACCAGGAGATTCTTCCTCTTGAAGCAGCATTTTTTCTTTTGAAATTGGTCTGATTTGCAGAGGGAGAACTTAAAAGGGAAGTTGACTGACTGCAGGAAAATGGAATATATGTAGCTCAAGCTAAGCTAAAATAACTTTCTTTTCTGTCTTTGGCCACTGAACTATATCCCCATTGTTCACACAGCTCTAGAACTGGGGAGTGCTCTGTGCTGGATGAATTTTTCTAAGTATTGTTGATTTACATTTAGCTGCTTTCTGATGCTCTTGGTCACAATTAAGGTCAGGCCTGTTGACAGAGAAGGTCAGATCCATACACAACATGACTTGTTAGTCTTTCTCTCTTCCTGCTCTCACAGCCTCTGTTCCCTAAGACTTGCTCTATTAGGGAATTTCTCCTCTTCAAACTGTTTCTTGCCTTCATCTGGTACAGAATCTCTCATCTTCCACTCATGTTTTCTTTCGCAGATAACCTGACAGACCGATGTGAAAAAATGGTGTGCCTGTGTGACCAAGAAGCAGCCAAATGTTGGGGAGCTGCCCCATACAACCCACATTTCATCCTCTGGCCAGACTTTTTATGTGGACAGACTCATCCCACCTGCCATTTCGGATATGGGGGGGCAGAATAGTCTTTTGGGAACCTTTCTTCAAACCCTTTGAATTTGAAAGTGCTGGAATAAAAATTTACCTCTTCTACCAGAGCTAACAAAAGTATGAGAGAATTTCTATCAGGCCTGGGGTTTATGGGGAGGAGAGAGGGTAAAATACATGCTGAAGTAAGAACAAGACCCTGCTCTGATCGCTGTGTTTGCAGAAATGGAGGATTTGATCCATGAGAACACATTACCCATCACCAAATGGCTTTCTTGTCCTTTCACATTGCCTGATCTTCAGCTCCCACACATTTACATGTAATCTGGAAAATACGTAGGGATTTCTGCTGGACTGGTTTGTAAAAAAAAAACAAAAACAAACAACTCTGTGAAAAGATGCACTGGCCTTTGAAGACCCAAGGTGTGCCTGTCTGAAGTAGAGTGACCCACTTTATTTTCCTCCCTGCAGGAGGAGCAGGGATATCAAAGAGGGAGGATGCCTCCTTATTCCTTATTTGTGCTCGGAATTCTGCTTCCTACCAAAGGAAAAGCAGAGTCTGGCATAGGGGAGGGCTCCATCCGTTCTTGTGGAGAGGTGGGAGTGGGTGTGTGTTTCTTAGCTGATACAGCCAGCCGCCTTGTCCCTGGTGTTCTTGCCTTGCAGCACTGGGGACACTTCTGAGGCACATTCAAGGGTAAGAAGAGCTACACTGGACTATTGCTGTTGCAAGGCCAGCAAGGGTTTCTGACTTTCACTAGTGGGCACACCCATATTTTGCAAAAGAATGTATAGCTTACCTGCCACACATGCTTCAGAGCTGATACACTGCTCTCCTAAAGAGGTATTGGCACATCCCCCAGGTCACTGACCACCTGGGAATCAGTTATTGTCATGTCAGGAAACCAGGGCTGTGGATAACATCAGTCATGTAAGCAAATCTTTCATGTCTCCTTTTTTTTTTAAGGGTATTAGAGGTTTATTTTGAAATGCCATGTGTCCTTCTGGTGAGAGTAAACCAAATTCCCATTCTTTCAGCTGGGATAGCTATGTTCAAGTAGGTCTCTTCATTCTTTGTCTCTTCATTACGAGCTGGTAGGCTTGAGCAAGCCACCAGGACGGGAGCCTCCATACCGAGAGGCACAGACAGACAGGAGCCATGGTTGCACCCCCAGAAGCAACACATTTGATTTCCTCAGGGGGGTGTTAGCAGCTGGGGAGCTGGGTGGCCTGGGTAGGTCAGGCTCTTTCTGTCTCTTTTGAAGCACAACTGACAAACTTCAAGTGCCACTTTTAAAATAAGAAGTAATGGCAGGGAAAGACCCAAGGTACCTCATTAGGGTCTAGATCCAGAGATATGTGGGCAAACTAAGTGGGGTTTTGGCAGGTGCTAATACAAATTCCTTTACAAAAGGTTGTTGTGCTCCACTGTGGCTGTCAAAGCTGCAAGAAAAAGAAACAGACCAAGGAAAATAAAAATGCCAAAGATAACGTACTGAGGCAAAAGCTTTTATTCCATCTAGAGCTCCAGTTTTGGCTTACAGGGCATCAGAAGTCGTTCCATCTGTAGGCTTTGCATCTTCCAGCTACTCTCGTAGTGCCGCATCTCAAGCTATGCTGAGCAAGGAAAGGAGAGACAGCAAGTGAGTGATACAGAGTTGGTACAACACAACAAACTCTTCCAAGGCTTTCTGGCAAGTAAAGTGATGAACTCTGTTCATGCAGAGGATTTGCACCAGATGATGCTGCGCGGGCAGCATCAGCGTAGGAGTGCGGGTGCGCTTCTCAGCAAGGGCTGGAAGACCCTCCCCGGTGGTCAGCGGGGCAGAGCTCCCGGCCGCGTCCCTGTCCCCGCCGGGATGGCCATCAGGTGGCGACAGCGCTCCAGGGAATGGCAAGAGCAGCTCTTCCTTCAGCCCTTCGGCGGCTGGGGAGGATTTTTTCCAGCAGGCCGAGCAAGATTTTGGAGTGCCGGGAGAAGAGGTGCGAATCGCATGGCTCCCCATGGAAAGCAAAAAGTCAGCTGAGCTCGGTCAGAAACGCAGACCGCATCTCGAGTTGCACCTGCAGGAACTCAGCTTGTTTCAGAATCCAGCCTTCAGTATCAGTCTATTCTAATCAGACCAGCCGACAGAGCTGGAACAAACAGGCGAGCTTTCAGGTACATCAGCATCTCCTCAGGTCACTTCTTTGGCTCATGTCTGAAGAAAACATCTAGTTTTCTCAACCTGATCAGCTGATCTAATAAAAGATATTGCTGGGCTTTACAAACCACACCTCAAGCATACGCTTAGGCCATCATAGGCTTTCTGTACACAAGCATCACCAGAATATGGATGTAAGCATGTAGTTGCTGGGAGGAAGAACCATCCTTCAGCATAAACCTAAAAGACCTGAAGGAGACCCAGGACTTTGTTAAAAGAAGCAGCATCAGCAGCATCTCATTGAACAACTCTTTGCTGAAAGTGGCAATGAAAGAACATGTTATTGTTTTGTTTATAGATAACTCACCAGGCCTGTGCATGAAGCTCTACCCAACATAAACAAGGAACTATTTGAAAAAGAGATGGAACATAGTGCCAGCCCTGTTAGAGTTTCATCCACACTGCCCATTTCCTGAACCAGATCCCGTGTCTGACCACAGGTAAGTAAACAGCTAATTCCTCAAGTTAAAAAAAAAAACATACCTTTGGAAATAGGCAGTTGGGTTCATCTTTCTAGCAAGAGATTCCACGTTTTGCTTTGTGTTCCTTACCTTGGCGAGAGCCTTGTCTCATGCAGAGGACGCACCTCCTCAGCTGTGGTGTTAAAACCACAATCAGAACCACTACGCCTCCGATACCAGCCGCCACAACCCCAAGGATTGTTCCAATGGATTCTTCTATACCAAACAAGCCTGGGGGAGAAGGGAAGGTAGAGAGAGTAATGTAAGATGGCTTCCAGGCAAGTATATGCAATGCAGCCAGCACGTTTTCTGCGGTGGCTGCAGAGGAAGCTACTTATGACAATATTGATTATGCCAAGGTCTTGTCTGACACGAAATTGTGGGCTTCTACACGGAAGACAGTGTGTTGCACTACAGAGCTATTGATTTTTTTCATTCCTATGGAGGAAGCTGCTATGCTTTCTGGAGATTCAGAGATAGGACAGCCTCATCTCCCTAGCAATCTCCCTTAACAGCTGGATGCTAAGGGATGGCAAAAGATGCTGCTGCCTGAATTAATGGGACTCATGCCTGCATGCTTTATTTTCAGATGGAAAAAAAATACTCTGACATAATTTTGAGAAAGTCTGAGTCTCCCCGTCTACCTCCAAAGGAGACAGCACCAGAGAGCCGGCAGAGCTCCACTGAAGCCCTTTCTTTGATTTGTTGCTCTTTGGGACTGTTGCATGGCAGAGATGGGATGATACCATTTTCTTTGAGATAAGAGCATGTTGGTGTTCTGGCTTTATTATTTGTTGGGACTGAAGGATGATTCAGGAAGAGCCTTTGGTCAGGTGAGCACTGAGGTTATGGGATGCAGCATGGAGGGCATCTGCCCTGTAGCTTAGAGTCTGCCAG